ATAATAATAATAATAATAATAATAATAATAATAAAAAAAATACAAAAGGTCATTAAAATTAAAAGGACAAAACGTCCTATATGCTTGATATGTATATGCTATATATGCTTGATGCCAGCTATGAGGACCTTTAGCTGCTGCTGCTGCTGATTTATTAAACTTGTATACTGCCCAACTCACAATGACTCTGGGTGTCTCACAAAAATCAAACAAAGAAATTACAATAAAAGATAAAAGATGAAGACAAAATATGGCAAGAGCAATGAAGCGAGGGGTCTCGCTCTCCCTCACCAAAGGCCTCCGTGCTTGCTTCAGTTCTCACATCCTCTGCAGCACTCTGGATACATTCTGCAAAAAATGGCTTGGAGCATGCAGGAGCATAAATGTAGCACTTTTCTGCAACCTCTGAAAGTTGCTGCACATTTTCCCTAAGTTGCATGGCTGGTCTCTGAACCTGCCATGTGGTCTCAGGAAAAGATGCAGCAGCTTTGAGGATTGCAGAAAAGTGATATCTTCATGCTCCTGGATGCTCTGAAGCACTTTGCTTCCAGTCACAATGAAGCTAAACTGAAGCCTATCTTTGAGGAAGAAATGTCTTGGCTTGATATATATTCTTAATTTTAATGTTTCAATGTATTGCTGATGTTTTGTTTTGTTTATTATTTTTGTCCTATATTCATTGTCAAACCCTTGGAATCGAATCCATCTTTTCAATAAACAAATAATGAAATCAACATCAGTGCTGGTTCCTTTAGTTTATAGCATCTGTTCTGCTTGCTAAAAAGACTATTAAGTGACTCATTTGCTTTGCTCAGAGGAGACTAGACTCTCTGACTCATTTAAAATCAGAAAATGAGGGAATATACCATAATATTTTGCCCAACAAAGAAGAAAACTTCAACCCAAAACCAGGCTTTCCAAATTAAAAGACTTGTTCCTAATGTGAATCACCTACATTATCAGGGGAACATATTCCCAAAGTGAGCCAGTGCCTCTGTGGACAACAATAATAAAACTGAATACAGGTTTGTATTCTTGTAAATAAATCTGTTTCTTTGAGGGTAAAGATCAGCTCGGCCATAACAGCATCAGCCTCTATATGCTCTTGTGGATGGATCTATCTATCCCCTTTATTCCTGTTTCAGTGATCAAGTCAAAAATGCCACTGACAAATTGGGAAGGGTTATTTCATCAAGCCTGATAGAGAAACAGAAGCCATCTGAGAAGCAGTGGAGAACCAGGGATCTTTTCAGGATGGAGGTCAGTGGCACTGATGCCAATGAACAGGAAGCATCACTTTGTCACCAGGTTTACATTTTAAAAGCCTGAAAAGAGAGAAATTAGTATAAGGTGGGCTCAGCTTCATCATGTTGTTTTCATTGTGCCCCTCAAATTCAGGAAAAAAAATGGGGTGCAAAATTGCATAAATAACTAAAGCACTGATGTTATAAATGGATGGCTAGGGTTAGTAGCTGAATAGGAAATATGAAGAATTTGGGCGAGATGGTATTGTCTACCATCTGTATGTTGCTCAGTGTCTTATATTATTTTCTAGACAAGGAAAGTTATTATACCCAATGTCCCTGCTGACGTGTAGTGGGGTGCCTGTTTCATGCAGGCTTGCCTTTTCTAGGAAGCCCCTAAATTGAAGCAACAGATTAAATTTGGGTACATCTGAAGTTGAGGGATCATCTCATAGCTTATAAATCTTCCCCATCTTATCCTTTTAGGGCTGATAATTTTACATCCAGTATGAATAATAGCAATGACAGCTCCGTGAATGATTTTCTCTTGCTGGGCTTTTCCATCCTTGGAAAGACACCAACTTTACTTTTCCTGATTTTCTCCCTCACCTATGGCACCATTCTGGCCTTCAACATCACTATCATGTCAGTCATATTGCTAGACCGGACTCTACATTGTCCAATGTACTTTTTACTTTTTGCATTATCTGTCTCAGAAACTTGTACCACATTTGTCACCATCCCCAAACTGCTAATGACTCTGTGGACTGGCAGACAGTCCATTTCCTTGGTTGGATGTGCTACGCAGATGTTTTGCTTCTTTAGTTTGGGAGCCAACAACTGTTTCTTGTTAGTCGCTATGTCTTATGACCGATATGCAGCAATTTGCTACCCACTTCAGTACCAGGTGCTGATGGAGAAAAGGGTTTGCATCAAACTAGTAGCTGCATCTTGTGTAACCGGATGCTTTATATCCCTAGTTATTTGCATCCTTATTTTCAGGTTGCCTTTCTGTGGGCCAAATAGAATCCAACATTTCTTCTGTGATATTTCACCCGTGCTGAGTCTGACTTGCATTGATACTTACCTAACTAATCTGGGGATAGTTCTTTTATGTGCCCTTGTTTTGCTGGGCACTGTCCTATTGATCTCTATTTCATACTTCTATATTATTTCTGCTATCCTAAGGATCTGCTCCAGTTTGAGAAGGAGAAAAGCTTTCTCAACCTGTGCCTCCCATCTCACTGTGGTGATCACCCACTTCAGCTGTGCTTGTTTTGTGTATCTGAGGCCTAAGGCAGCTTCTTCACTAGATCAAGACACATTGATCTCAACCGTTTATGTCTTTCTGACCCCTCTACTGAACCCTTTGATTTATACCTTGAGAAACAAGGAAGTTAAATTATCAATCCAAAAATTGATAAGGAATTCATTTTGTTCTCAGAATCTCTAAACAGAAGAGGTGGTTTTGACTTGATTTAATGAGGAGGGGAGGCATTTTAGTAACTGAGGAGAGTCAGAGGCAAGTCACTACTGTAGACTGGAATGGCTTTAGCAGATACCAATGAAAAGATAGGCAGGTATTGTGCAATGTTTAAGCGCTGTATTTAGAGCAAACGTGAGTGCTGAGCATACGATTTATGGAATTTAACACATTCTTTCTCTGCCAGGGTGTCAACAAAAAAATCCCATTCTTTCTATCTCAAACAACCTGACAAGCATACACATATGTATACATGTACTGAAACTGCTATTTACCTTGGAAATACAGCCTGTAAAATTGCATACTGGAGGAAAGAAAAAAACCCTCATAATAAAATCCTCTGCTGGCCTCCATTTTCATTTTAGTGCCCCATTATGTGAGTAATGTTAGATATTGATTGGACCTAATTTTGAATAACAAAATAGTTTTATTTGCCAGCCCAACTTTTCATTGTTTTGTACTTGAGCAATAAACATTATTTCTGTTCTCCATGATATAATCATTTATGCTGAAAGACTTTCTTCATGGGCATGTATGCGTTGAAAAAAAAAAATCAACTCAAAGCTAAAGAGAATGGCTGGACTATCAGCAAGTAGCTGTGGCAGCAGTACCCAGAAATAGTTGATGGAGTAGGCAAAATGGCAATAAAAATAGCAGAGCACAGCCAGGTGAAAGTCCTTATCATCAGAAGCAGCACGAAAGGTTTAATGCACTAGCTAGGGAATGAATCAACAACTCTCCTGGATCTCTTGAACTTCTGTGCAAGGCTCCCTCCTTCTGTAAATATACATAAATATACATATAAATAATATAAAATAAATATAAATCTACAGGAGCAAAATAAATACAAATATAATATAATATAATAATCTTATATAAATATTATAAATATAAATAATATAAAATAAATATAAATCTACAGGAGCAAAATAAATACAAATATAATATAATATAATAATCTTATATAAATATTATAAATATAAATAATATAAAATAAATATAAATCTACAGGAGCAAAATAAATACAAATATAATATAATATAATAATCTTATATAAATATTATAAATATAAATAATATAAAATAAATATAAATCTACAGGAGCAAAATAAATACAAATATAATATAATATAATAATCTTATATAAATATTATAAATATAAATAATATAAAATAAATATAAATCTACAGGAGCAAAATAAATACAAATATAATATAATATAATAATCTTATATAAATATTATAAATATAAATAATATAAAATAAATATAAATCTACAGGAGCAAAATAAATACAAATATAATATAATATAATAATCTTATATAAATATTATAAATATAAATAATATAAAATAAATATAAATCTACAGGAGCAAAATAAATACAAATATAATATAATATAATAATCTTATATAAATATTATAAATATAAATAATATAAAATAAATATAAATCTACAGGAGCAAAATAAATACAAATATAATATAATATAATAATCTTATATAAATATTATAAATATAAATAATATAAAATAAATATAAATCTACAGGAGCACCAAGCTCATGTTTAAAAAATCTAGAACCCTTTGAAAAGACCATTCAACCTGTGCCTAAAAGAAGACCAGCCCAAGTGCTTCTGAAAGGGCCGGTCAGGTGCTGCACAGGCAGAGAGGTCTCCAGTATCTCCTGAAGCCCAAGCCACAATAACCAGACAAAGCAGTCTCCCACTGACCAAAGGTATGGGAATATGCGGC